AGAGAGAGAGAGAGAGAGAGAGAGAGAGAGAGAGAGAGAGAGAGAGAGAGCAAATGTATGCAAGTACCACAGGGTGGATGCAGAAGTGAGGGGTTGGTTCTTTTCTTCCACCATGTGAGCCCCCGGGATCAATGTAAACAACCAAACTTCCACTGCAAATACCTGAATCCACTGTGTGCCGTTGTTTTTTGTTTGTTTGTTTATTTTCTGATGACAATTATCACTGTATTAGCTAACGCAATAAGAATTACCACTTAGCTCTTCGTCAGTGCTAAGTACCACTTTAGATACTCCACATGTTGCCTCTAGTGATCAGCAACTCTGTGTCACAAATTTATATTACCATAGGCAAGAAAACTAAGAAAGTATTATTAAGCAAGGTAATAAGGTCTTACAGCCAGGAGGGGTAGGTGTGGAGTTTGACTGCAGGTGTTCTGTTTCTGACTGAGCTCAGCTTCTGTACCTCATCTGTGGGCATGGTGCGCTCAACAGACCTTGAGGACCTGGAAGGCAGGTGTACATACGGGGCTGTGTACAAAGTACAGCTGATTCATCCAGCCCTGGTCACAGATAGGATGTCAGCTCTAGAAGAAAGCAACATAAAGAGCCTGTGGATAACAGCGTAGCCAAGAGTAATTGTGCCCCGTTATTTTTATGCTTTTGTTGCCCGAGATGATAAAAATATAGGAAGAGCATAGTGTTGATGCTGGAAAAATGGCTTACTGGGTAAAGTTCTTGCCTTGCAAAACCAAGGACCTGAGTAAGAGCCCTAAAAATCCATGCAAAAATGTGTGCTTATGAATGCAGATAAAGCCTGTGGCAGGGAGACAGAAGCAGGTGGATCCCTGGAGCTCCCTGCAGAGCTGGCCTAGCTAAACTGGAGAACCCTGGGCTAGTGAGAGACTCTGTCTCAAAACAATAGAGGGTTCAGGACCAATGGCTCACCTGAGAACAGCCAACGTACCATCTTACAACAGCCTATAAATTAACTTCTGTCTTCCCTGACCAAGGCAAGCCTCTGCCCACATGTGGCATACACACACTCATACCCATAAATAAAATAAAAGTAAATCTTAAAAGAGAAACAAGGTGGAGGGCTTATGAAGAATAACACTTGGAATTGTCTTCTGGTTTCCAGATGGAAGTACCCACACACGCTTGCACGTGCATGTGCACATGCACACACAAACATTCATGCAAACATAAACACATACATACCCGTCACTCTACCAAGACGACCTGTTATTTCTCAAAGACGTTTTCCAACCTTCTTGTATTAGGAAAGTAGGGCCAAGCTTCCGTGATTTCCCTGCCAGCTGAAGCATTTCCCGGCCACAGCGCTATCAGGGCTTAGGAGACTTTGGTATCCACATGATTGACCACATGGTTTTATTTTTCATTCACTTGAGACAAAGTCGATGAGTGGACACATCCTTCATTATTTTTTGAAATGAGTTTGGTGGCCCAGGGCTTGACATCAGAGAGATTCACTTGGATTTAAAAGTGAGTTTGGCCTCTGAATGATGTCATCTGGAGGCTGGCTATTGAACTTCCCCAAGGCACACTTCTTCATTTCTGAAATGAGGCTGACATGAGAGCTCAGCAATCCCAGGAGGAGCTAAAGGAAAGCAGGTGAGACAGCAGATAGACAGGGATGGGAGAAACTTCCCATCCGCAACAAAGAACTGCAGAGAGACAGAAGTGGGGAAGGCACATGTGGGAGGTTAATAAGGGCGTGACAGAATTAACAGAGGGTGGGAGTGACATCCAAGACCACGCAAATAGGACACAACACAGTGTTCCCTCATGCGCGTCCTTCCTCCTGCCCAGCCTGACTGTAGACTTTTATGCCTGTGGCCTCTTATTTCCTTGTACTAATTCCCTTGTCATATTTTGTTCTCAGCCTGTGCAGCCCTTCAGCACAGGATCTTGTATATCTGAAGTATCTCTGTAGAACCTACCTCTTGTGATCCAAATGCACGCGTCCAGCATCTGACATACATGTAGCACTTCCCAGCTTGAGACCTACACAGACATCACCCATTTGATCTGGCCCTGGCTCTTTTGATTTTCTCGGGAGCATGAGGCCTGGGTGCTGCTGGTTTTTGCATGAACCACACACTCTTGACTCCTCCTGCCAAAGTTTATTTTGCTCCCTTATTCTCCCTAACCTTATACCCTCAGATATACTTCTCATTCACATAGCCCAAGGCCCCGTGCCTCCGAAGGAGGGTTACAACAGCGAGAGAAAGCCAGGAGAGACTGGAGACACACCGTCCTGCATACCATCCCGGTTCGGAATGCAGTCTGTGTTTATCACCATATCCAGTAGGGTCTGAGTGTTCTCCGACCCGGTCCAAGGAGAATGGCTTAAATGGGAACATCCCTTGTGGCACTTTGTGACAAATACCATCTTTAGAGGCATCAGCTCACTGTAAAGCTTAATTCTATTAGAATATTCCCATGTTAAAGTAACTGTGATTTAAAAAAACATTTAAACATTTAGGATGGTGTTTCAGAGCCTATTTAGGTTCATGGCAAAATTAAGTGGAAAACTCAGTCACACACATGCACACATGCATGCTCACACACAGCCTTTTTTATTTGTCAACATCTCTCAACACTGACACATAATTGTCAGTCCAGGTCTACCGGGCCCCTTCTAGTTCACTCACAGTCATGCCTATCCTGTAGATTTGCACAGACAAACAGCATGTACCCATGATCTCACACAGTGCATATGTAACCATGACCTCACATAGTACACATGTACCCATGATCTCACACAGAGCATACATACTCATGATATGTCACAGTGTGTATATACCCATGATATCACACAGTACATGTGTACCCATGATATCCCATAGTGCATGTGTACCCATGATATCACACAGTGTATATATATATATATATATATATATATCCATGACATCTCACAGTACACAAGCACCCATGATATCACACAATGCACATGTACCCATGATATCACACAGTGTATATTCACTGTTGTAAATCTTCAGGGTTCAGCTTACTAGCCTCTTTTCTGATCTCTGATGAGTCTCCTATTTCATTTATTTTTAATTTTGTTTACTGTCCCTGTACATTTGCCTCACATAGTATGTTGACAGTATATTACCTTCACTTAATGTATGCTTAAAGTTTCCCTATGGCTTTTAAAAAATTGTTTGACAGATAATACATTTATCAAGTGGGTTTTAGTCTCCACTCCCCATACCCCTCTCCTCTTCCTGCCCCTTCTCCTGTAACCTTTCTTCATTACAGGTCTCCATCCCATTTTCGTGTCTTCTTTTTGTGTGTAACCCACTGAGTTTAATTAGAGCTTCTTGCCCAAGTGTGGGCGTGAGATGGGTAGCTCATTCCTGTTCTGTACTGAATTCTATTCTGTTTTACTGGCATTTATTTACTTACTTGCATTTTTATCATTATCAAGTTTGGGCAGTTTTAAAGCTCATAAACCATTTAGCTCATGAAAGTTCCTTCTTAGGTGAATATTGATTGCATTCTAATAGTGTATAGAGTTTTCAAAAACAAAAACAAAATTCAAAAAACCTGCTGACTGTCACCCCACTTCCTCTATGACATTTGGTGGTATAGATTTTATTGTTGCTGCTGCTGTACCAGGCTTGTAATGGGATCTTGTTTCTGTTAGCATCTCAGAAGACAGGACGTTGTGAGGCAGCCTTCATCCCCTATTTGATGTCTGTCTGTCTGCTTTGGTGAAATTACTGTAACTTCTCCCAGTCCTCTCTTGTAGTGATAGGAGTGGCAGGGCTGCGTCTCCAACACCCTGGCCGCCTGCTAGCTTATGCCCTGAAATAACAACACACAAACTGTATCCATTTAAACATTGCTTGCCCATTATATCTAGCCTCTTCTCTGCTAACTCTAGCACCTGGAATAGCCCATTTCTAATAATGTGTGTAAGCACCCCAAGGTGCGCTTACTAGGAAGATTCTAGCCTACATCCATCCTGGGTCGGAGCTGCCTGGGAGAGCGGAGCCTGGCATCTCTGCTCCAGAGAGCAGAGCTGTAGAGTCTGAGGAGTCTTACCTCACTTCCTCTTCCTCCTGTTTACTCCTCCCACCTATGTTTTAACCTATCAGGGCAAGCAGTTTCTTTATTTAATTAACCAATGAAATCAACAGATTGATATATGACACTCCCACATCACTCTCTGGGGATGAACTGCACTGACTCATGGGTAGAATGAGGGAGCAATAGGAGCCCCTTCGAAAGTGTCCTGCCTATTAACTCTATTGGTTAGATCTCCCAAGGTAGAGGAGGGCAGGCCTGAGCAGCAAGTCTTTGGCCCCTCCTCTGTAGTCCTGTGTTTAACACAAAGAATATCACAATGCTTATGGCAGGCCAGAATCATCTCCAGGGGGATACTGAATGAACATACCAAATCTTGAAACACACAGATCTTGTCTTAGTCAGGGTTTCTTTGTTGTGAAAGGACACCATGAACATGGCAACTCTTATAAAGAAAAACATTTAATCGGGGCTGGCTTACAGTTCAGAAGTTTAGCTTGTTATCATCATGGTGGGAAACATGGCAATGTATAGGCAGACATGGTGCTCTAGAAGGAGCTGAGTCCTGCATCTGGATCGACAGGCTGCAGGAAGAGAATGCCATACTGGGTGTGGCCTGAGCATCTGAAACGTCAAAGCCCACTCCCAGCGACACACTTCCTTCAAAACCACACCTCCTAATAGTTCTGTTTCCTATGGGTCAAACATTCAAGCACACACGTCTATGGGAGCCATTCCTATTCAAACCACCACAGTGCCAAATGAAGAGTAAACCCGAGCAGATGTGTGGAGGATGTGTTATGTGGTGGTTCTAGGGGGATATGTCTTCCTCCCTTACCTTTTCCAATCTCAATTTTATTGTAGATTTATCCAATGAAGAGGAAAGAGGGTGAATGGAAAAATGTGGAAGAAAGTATGAAGATGAGATGGTGAGTTTTGTCTGTTATGCCCAAATCTGTGGGTCCCCACAAAAGCCAACAAAGGAGACCGAGTCTCATATGTAAACGCAAAGAACCTTTATTTTAATCAAGTTTGCAAACTCTATCTCTTGGCATGTCCAACATATTGGAATATCCGGAGAGCCCCAAGCTCAATTAGAATTGGGTTTTTATAGTAGTAAATGTGGGGGTGAGGGGTCTCTGAGGTTCAGGACCCCTGATTGGCTGACATTTGTCTAGGGGTGTCCTGGTGAACTGCTGGCAGGTGTTTCTATCTACAGTGCTTGAAATGCCAGGAATTTCCTTTGAATGGTCTGCACTTGGGTGGGGGTCAGGTAATCTTGGCCTGCCAGGCATTGTCTCAGGGTAAACTATTTAGACTCCAGACGCCATTTAAATTTATCCATGGACAGAGTCCCAAGTGATAATGGTTGGAAGTAGAGAAACTTCCTTTGGATGACCTTCCCAGACTTAGCTTATCATGGCTGGCTCTCACATTGTCACCTTGTCAGAATCTAAATCACAGGTAGCATCACAAATGGAAGGTGGGTGTCTGGGCATGCCTGTGGGTGGTGTGGGAGAATGGTCTGTATTCTGTCAATTATATTTTAAATAAACACTGATTGGCCAGTAGCCAGGCAGGAAGTATATGTGGGACAACCAGACAGGAAGTAGAGGCGGGTCGATGAGAACAGGAGAATTCTGGGAAAAAGAAAGCCCATTTCTCTGCAATTGTGAGTTTGCTACAGAAGAAACAAGATGTGACTGCCTCGCTGAATAAGGTACCAAGCCATGTGGTTAGCATAGACAAGAATAATGGGCTAATGTAAGTTATAAGAGTTAAATAGAAGCCTGAGCTAATGGGCCAATCAGTTTATAGTTAATGTAGACCTCTGTGTGATTTCTTCGGGACTTAACAATTGTGAGAACTGGACAGGGAAGAAAACCTCGGACAACATAGGAGTGGGGTGTCTTCTTTGTGTTAATTATGGCAGGGAGACCTGGCCACTGTGAGTGGCACCCTTCCTCGACTGGGAGCTTGGATTGTATAAATAGAGAAATGAAACTGAACAATGGCCATTATCTGTTTCCTGGGTCCAGATGCACTGTGGCCAGCTACCCCCCCTGTCCCTGGTGTCACGCTTTCCCAGCCTGCTGCTATGTCCTCCTCACCATGAGGTGCTGAAACCCTCTGAAACAGAGAGCCAAAATAAACCTTTTCTGTCTTGACTTGCTTTCTTAGGCTGTTTTTTCATAGCAGAGAGAAAGCAATTAAGACAAGAAAGAGTGACAAAGCAGAGGGGTGAGCTGTGGAAATACAGAATGAGTGACAGTCATTGCTGTACAGAGGGGTTAAGACGAAGCAATGGAGCAGAAGACATTGCTTTCCTGGGATTGAGAGCAGGCTGAGCAGGCAGTAAAGAGTTCATTGCATAGCTCCACTTGTGATGGGATTGTGTCACATGCCTGGTACTGACCAAACGGGAGAAGCAGTGGTGACACATAAACAGAATCATATGATATGTGGCCTTACCTACCTCACTTACTTATTAAAATATTATTTTCGTGTTCAACCATATCATACAGATACTGCAATCCTTTTTGCAGCTGTGTGATCTTTCATTGTATGGATATACCACACTCTGTTTATTTGGGTATTGAAGCATGCTTCTCTTGTTCCAGCTCTCTGGCCATTGTGCCCTTAAGCTCGTGTCTCTCTGGGGACAAGCCACCAGTAAAGTACTGCCTCACTGTCGCTCATTTTCAGTGTGAGCATTCGGTGGCTGTTTTGAATGAGTGGTACATGATGAAGCACACCATCTCCCTCCTGAAGGAGATTTTATTACTCAGAGGTCAGCTCCCCCTCAAATCTCTTGAATTTAGTCGTTATTGATCCTGTGCAAAGACGAAGAGATTTATTTACAAAATTTGTTTCTTTGAGGGTCTACAAGAAGGTTCAGTGGGTAAAGTGCCTATTGCATAAGTCTGTCATCAGAAGTGATTCCACTTTTCCCTCTGACCTCCATACATAATCCTGGGCACAAGGGCAACCCCGCCCATTACACACACACACACACACACACACACACACACACACACACATGTGCGCGTTCATGAGCAATCACACACACACCTACCCACATACCATAGTATAACATAATATAATAACAAATAAGAATGGTTGATGTTTGTTTCCTTAGGAAAACCTCCCACCGAAAGCTTGCTATTATTTGTGTCAACTGTGATTTGAGAAAGTACTTTTGCTAATTTTACGCTAAGTGGATTAAGTCTGAAATTCTTCCACGATTGTTCTAATCTTGCTTTCCACCTTTACTGTATGAACAGTAGAGCTCGTGGTTTTGCAGAGGCGCTTCTGTTAATTTCCTGGAAGTACTTGTGGCGAGCCAGCGCATCACCTGGCTGACACACTAGTAAACACCTACATCGAAGCACAGAGGGGAAGTGAAGACAAAAACCCAAATCGTGCTCAAACGTCCACTTTCTTCTAACCTGGAGCTTCTAAATTCTGAATGTTTCCAGGGGAAATTGTCTTATTTCCTGTCATTTCCTTGAGTTGAGTAAGAGCTTTAACTTTTATCTTACCCACTGCGTTTTCACACACTCTTCCCATTTTTAAAAGTAAATATATAGAACACTTAGCAATTGTTTCCAGCTGTCCTTATCTTTATGGGCTAATAATTTTTTTTATTTCTCTAACATAGGAAAGGGGCAATATGCCAGTTTAGATGCACGCTAAAGGAATAGATGTTTCTGTTATGGCATCCAGAGCTTCAGCTCTGGAACTGCAGGTACCTATTTGTATAAATGGGAGACATATAACATAGGGATTAGGGATGGAATGATAGCTTCCAATGAAAGCGTTTTGCTATTTTTAAAATGCCTATATTTTAGCTATCAAGGAAGCCTTATGTAATAGGTCTTATCTTTGTGTTCACACACGGACATGAGACCTGGGAAGGTACTGTGAAGGTACCGAAAGGATTTGGACTAAACTCTGAAGAGATTTAAAGCTTGCATGCTTCAAACAGAAGTAGGGGGCGATGAGAACGCCATTCATCTATAAGCTTAACATGGGGACTTCCACTGAGAATGAGCTGTCTGCAAAGTACGAACCTGCCACCTGCTTCAGGATGTCTGGTGTATTTGTAAGCAGATTTTTGGTGATCTTGCTCCCTCCGGAAGGTGCTGGCCTATCTGCAGCTTCTCCTCTGTTTCCCATTCCTTTCCTGAGTTTTAGACATGACGATGGCAATTTAGGAATCTTGTCATCGACTCCAAACAAAAACTGGATTCAGAATGTCTTCATCTGAAAGATGTACAAATCTTGCAAGCAAAAGCCTGTGGCCCAGTGCTGTCGACACAGTTGAAAACACTTTTACGACAGGACAGCTCTGCTACAATTAAACAAACATCTTATAAAGAAATTCAACTTGTCAAAACTGGCTTGTTAAACAAACTTGGAACTAGTGGGTAACAAACTTGATCTGCTCTTGGATAGCAAGCTCCAGTTTTATGGGTCTTCCAGTGATCTCATTGTTATAATAAATGAGTACACCAGGTCTCTGTATTCATCAGGAACGTCCTACAAGCCATACTTCAGATGACTCAATAAAGTCATATGCCTCCCATGCCAAAAGGCAGGCACACAGTGGCGTTTCTTCACCTAGTGTCCTTAAAGTCACAAGCCAAAGCAACATCATCCTGAGGTCAAGCCCTGAGTGGAAGAAATCTTTGTATCTCAGTTCATCTGGAAATGTCTGACACTTACCTTCCTGTGAGCCTCATTGTGTTCTCCCCCTTTGCACAGGAACAGGTTAAATGTACCAGCATGTATTTTCCTGGAGTATTAGAACTTACCATGTGCTCCTCTTCCTGTAAGGAACTACCTGCTTCTAGCCATATGCCCTTCCCCCCACCGTTCAGAAAATTGTCTGGGTACAATGACATCATCCCACGTATCGCCTAACTTCTGTAAAAGAAGGTGAACACATATAGCCCTTCATGCTTGCTGAGGCCATAAGGTCAATGCAATGGTTAGACACCATCATACATGTACAATAACCTGAAAATGATTGTAGGCCTGGCCTTGGCAGATCATGTATCATGTTATGTAGCTTATGTTTTTCTATAGTCCCACATTTTCTATAAGACTTGACAACAAAAATTACCTAGTTCCTTAAAAACAGCAGAACTGGAAATATTATTTGGAGTCTGAAGATTTCTGTGGGTTCAGATATAGGTCAGGGACATGAACAACTGTTCAAATAACTTGGACATTAAAATGAGATCACAAAGTAACTTTTCTGGTTTTAAGACATGAGGGTATCAGAGAAAATGTGTCCAATTTGTGAAATGACTTCAGGGTAGCAGACATAAGAGTGTGTTCTTTATGCAATGTGTCAGACAAACACCTAGGACTAAGTTACAAAGGCAAAAACATTTATTTTGGCTGACAGTTTAGGAAGGTCAGTCCACACTGTTGTGAGGCCAGTAACAAGCGAGTACGTTGCAGTGGTCACTATAAAAGCTCTCACATCATTGTCCAGAAATCTGTGAAAGGAAGGAACCATGTTCTTATAACCTGTTGATGATTATTTACTCTTTGCTCTTTTGGGGGCCAGATCCCAAATAAATACACACATGTCTTTCTTATAAATGCCTAGCCTTATCTTGGCTTGTTTCCAGCCAGCTTTTCTAACTTAAATTTTCCTGTCTACCTTTGCTTCTAGACTTTTCCCTTTCTCTATTCTATATGCCTTTCTTTGTGTCTTTCTCTATGGCTGCTTTTGTAGCTAGGTGGCTGCCCCTGATGTCCTCCTCTCCCTCTGTTCTTGCTCCTTGATCTTTCTTAAATTTCTCCTCCTATTTATTCTCTCTGCCTGACAACACTGCCTATCCTTTCTCCTGCCTTCCTATTGACTGTTTTGTTCTTAATTAGACCAATCAGGTGTTTAAGGCAGGCAAAGTAA